GCTCCCGGCCCTTTGATTGGTGGCCGCATCGCAGCTACGGTTACGGCTCGCAAGTCCTTCCCCGCCATGCATGCCGCGTTAGGACCAGCTTGTCTGATCACTACTTTTTGTTTGGTGACGGCCAGCCTTAACTTCAGGCACCGGACGTGTTTGTTTCTCCGTGGGGCTAGGATCCTCATCCATGGCGTCTCACGGATCTCACATCTCAACTTCACTCAACGGTTCAAGTGAAGCTGGTTCCTGCCAAGACGGGCCGCGTTTCATCAGCAGTGGATATCATCGCTGGCGTTGGTGTCGAACAGGGTCGAAACTTAGTCACTCCCGTCCCACGACAGATGTGTAGCCTGCCCCACATTCAAGTTACTTTCAAGGAAGTCCCGTTGGTCATTAGTGTCGTACATCCGGAGCTGACGCTTGGAACTCAATAAACGTGCAAAAAGCGAAGTTTGTCTTTGAAGTTCTCGCGTCGCTTATAGTAGACGCAGTCGTTTCCGAATATGGAAGGTGTGCGACATATAAGATTTGCGAAATGACCAATGGACTGAAGCTCAGCTCTTGCCGAGACCACTGTGGTCACACGCTGCAAGTCGATCAATTCGGATATACAGAAAAGCATAAGCAAGAATGGCTTGCGCGCCAAGCCAAAAACAATTGTCGATTCTGTTGGACACCGCGAAATAAATTTACAGGATTTACTACAAGTGTCAAACGGTTTATTTCTTCTGCTCCTCCTCTTTCTTGGGCTCAGGCTTGGGCGTGGGCAGCTTGAACTGTGCAAAGTCAGTATGCGCAAAAGTAGCATCGACAGGTCAACTTACGCTCTCCGGCGTCCTGTCCTCACCGGGGCCAACCTGCTCCCAGGCGCTAGTGCCACCCTGCGTCTTGTCAGTACCCTGCATCCAGGCTTGAGACTTGCGAACCATACCCTGAAGTTCCTGAAAGCCTGGGTCATTTCCAGAGGCTCGACAACAATGCGCTTCTTCTCCTCGTCGTAGCGGATCTCAGTGTAACCCGTCATGGGGAAATCCTTCCTCAATGGGTGTCCATCGAAACCGTAATCCGTCATGATTCTCCGCAGATCAGGGTGGCCCACGAAGAAAACGCCAAAAAGGTCGTAGACCTCGCGCTCGTACCAGTTAGCGCCATCATACAGGCTGGTGATTGAAGGGACGGGCGTGGCCTCGTCGGCGTAGGTCTTGACACGGATGCGCGAGTTGTGGCGGACGCTCAGCAGGTTGTAGACAACCTCGAAGCGCTGGTCCTTGGTGGGGTAGTCGACGGCAGTGATGTCGGAGACCTGGGTGTACTCGGCGGCCGTGTGCAGCTTGAGGAAAGTGAAGACGGGAATGACGCCAGAGGGAGGGATGTAGATGGTCAACTCATCCTTCCAGACGGAGAACCTGGGCGGGGTCAGCGGCGGCGCGCATTGACGGCCGGGAACGGGGCGCCTACTGTTGTATGTACTTGGGCAAGCACGAGAGCAGGTACTGGCCGTACTTGTGCAGGGCCTCGCCCTTCTCAGCGTACTTGTCGACGGGGTTGACGACAGGGCGATGCTCGATGGGCTGCGGGGCGCGCTGGGCATACTGGTGCAGGGTCAGCGGGGGCGCGCGATGCAGGACGGCAAGGCACGCGTACCCTCAAGTTTGGCAGCGACGAGACATCGGCCTCGGGCTGCTTGGCCCGCACGACGGTGGTGGTGAAGCTGCGGACGGCATTGGCACGCACGGAGGAGCGGCCGGCGGCGCGCACAGCGGCAGCGGCGGCGCCGTGGGAGAGACGCAGGCTGCTCATGACAATGGCAGGCCTGAGACAGAGGGAGAGTCGGGACGGAGGCAGACCAATTGCTGCGGTGACAGAGGGAATGGCGCAGCTTGTGGTCGTCGAGGTCATCATGTATTGATGCTTGTCGATTCGCTGGGCTGCACGCTCGCGGACTAGCGGCTTGGCACTTGGCACCGGCTGCAGCTTCTTTGCCGGCCGCGATGCCCTGGACTCTTTCCAGGACCGTCTCCTGCCACTTCACCCGCCCGTTCACGACTCTCCCCTTGTCTCCCCGCCGCCGGCGTTCGCGTGCTTTCGTTGCTGCTTCGTTGCCTCTCCTCACCTCCCTCGACTTGTTTCGCCTCCCGCTCTCGCCGTCCTCCTTGTGCGCCACATCGCACGCTGCACCCATAGCCACCATGTCCCGCACTCAGATAGACCAGTTCATCGACGATGAGGAGGAGGAGCTCTGCCCGCTGTGCGTCGAGGAGTTTGATCTGTCGGACAAGAACTTCAGGCCTTGCCCTTGCGGCTATCAGGTGCGCTGGCCTCTGCGTTTGGCTCTGCCTTGCAACTGACACCCCGCAGATATGCCAGTTCTGCTACAACAATATCAAGACGACTATGAACGGCCTTTGCCCTGCCTGCCGACGCCCTTACGATGAAAAGAGCATAGAATGGAAGGTCATCAGCCCGGAAGAGTGAGCCGCCCACCTCCCCTCACTTGCGCGCATAAGTTCTGACCTTTCTAGGATGGCCAACTACAAGGCAGATCTGGCTCAGCAGGCCAAGAAAAAGGCCGCTGCTCGACAAAAGGAGGCTCAGAAGCGCGAGGCCGATTCACTCAGCCGCAAGCACCTCGCCGGTCTCCGGGTCGTCCAGAAGAACCTTGTCTACGTTACCGGCCTCAACCCGACCACGCGCGAAGACAAGCTACTGGAAACTTTGCGCGGCGATCAATATTTTGGGCAATACGGCAAGATTGTCAAGATTGTTGTCAGCAAGGCCAAGGATACGTCACACCCGCAACAATCAGTTGGCGTTTATGTCACCTTCGCTAGGAAGGAAGATGCTGCTACTTGCATTGCGGCTGTGGACGGCTCGATCAACGGCGATCGTACACTGAGGTTGGTCGCGTGTTTGCATGCGCATGGGCGGAGCTGACAAAATCTAGGGCCCAGTACGGAACGACCAAGTACTGTTCCGCTTACCTTCGCAACGAGCAGTGCAATAACCGCAATTGCATGTTCCTCCACGAACCAGGGGAAGAAAACGATAGCTTCACTCGACAAGATTTGTCATCTATGAACGTCATTTCGACGCAAGCTCCTTCGCAATCGCACCACAGTTCCTCTACGTCTCGACACACTCCCCAACCGCAGCCTCCGCCACAACAAGCGCCCCAAGCGGTTGCCGCCGCCGCCCAACCAATGGGAAGGATGGATAGTCACGATGGAAACGCTAGTCCCACGCACGACGGCCCGGCCCTACCATCAACCGCAAGCTGGGCAAACAAACCGCCGCCGACACCACAAGCGCAGAAAGCGAGTCCGACGAACCTCACTGCTTCTCCAGCGCTGCAAGCACCAACTCCTGCCGAGGCCAGTCAGACCAAGCAAAGCGGGAAGAAGGCCAAAGCCAAGGAACAACCGCCGAAACCCGAGGAACCGAAGCCTGTCGAGAAGACGCCTACCCCGCCCCCGCAGCCTGCGCCTCAGCGGAAGCCTACTCACCCGTTGGATGAAGTTTTGAAGAATCTCTCGGGTGATGGCCTGAAGTTTGTATTTTCTTCCGCTACGTTAAGCCCGGAGGATCTTAAGGTTGTTATGAACTTTCCTCCTCTTTTTGATCTGAAAGGAGGTGAGAGAAGGAGATTGCTGCGGGAGAAGGAAGCGGAAGAACGGCAAAGGACGGAAGCTGAGAACCAGGCAATCCGAGAGGCAGCAGTAGCGCAAGAGCAGGAAGAGCAACCGGAGGGTGGCAGTGGTAGTCTGCAGCTCGGCGGTGAGCCGGAGGAGCGAACCGACATGGGCCAGAGACAGCAGCATGCCATTCAACCACCTTCTCAGCAGTCAATCGGTGGTGCCGTCGGCTTGGGACAAAACTTCCCGTTCTCAGAGGACATGGCAAACCTGGGTTTGAACAACCGCGGACTTACGACTCAACAGCAGCAGCAAATTCTGTTGCAGCAGTTCAAGTCGGCCAGCACCCAGAATAGCAGCCTGTTCCAGACCGCGCAGCCTCAGATGCAGAGTGGTATGCAGAACGCAGCCAACCATGCCAGACACACCTCTAGGTTTACTTTTGGCACCGATTCCAACACCGCCACCGCAAACGTCAAGCCCGTCGCCAACGCCAAGCTCATGAACCAACAGGCGTCGATGATGCCTCACAACAACCACTTTAGCCAGCTTTCTCAGCACCAACCGCTCGGCAACCAGTTTTACACGAGCAGCGTTCAGGGACCTCCTCCCGGTCTCAAGACGACTGGTACGCCGCCCATCAGCGGAGGTGGCATGTTCGGACAAGGCCACGGCTTCGCAACTGGTGGTTTGGGCTATGGTGCAAACGCGGTGGGCAGGACCGCCAATGATGACGTAATGAGGGATTTGCTTCGGGGCCGTGGTGGTAATGCTGGCGGCAGCCAGGTGCACGATTCTGGCAAGCGTGAGTTAATGTTCCCTTCTTTCTTGCACCAACATCCCACCGCGACCTCTACGCCCAGCCCAGCCCCTGGCCTTCTGAACTTCCCTTATGGACCTCAGCCTGGCGCATACCAGGATTCTGGCTCCCAGAAGCAGAAGAAGAAGGGTAAGAAGCACAGACATGCTAACACTTCCTCCTCTGGAGGTGGTGTAGTTGATGTTGCGGACCCGAGTATTCTCCAGGCGAGGTTGCACCAAGGCGGAGCCATGGTCGGCCAGGGTCTGTATGCTGGTCAGGGCCAAGGTGGGTTTTCATCCGTGTACAACAGCGGCTTTGGTAGATGGTAGCCGTAGGAGTCCCTTGGCATCAGCACGTTTTTTTTATCTCAGGCCATCCCCTTTTATTGCGTTATGTTGCTTTGGCGTTGCACCGGTGGACAGGCAAGCGATGCATTAGCCCGTACCGTGCCCACGTGGCAGCGGGATGGCTATGGAGTTTCAAGTGGATCTCGGGATTTTCATGTCAACACACGCTGGCAGTAGCGGTCGGCACGAGCATCATGGTTGGGCTTTTGGCATCCAATTCTCTTCTTGTTGAGCTTACGGGCGACGCGTCGCTGCCTTTCTTAGGTCCGACTGCAAGCCTTTCTCTTCGTCTTCGTCATGGCCATCCTTGTACGTAAACGACCCCTCCCGCCCGTTCGACAGGGCCAGTCACTCACAGGTTAATCAGACTTTTGATGGCTTTTATTCAATCCTTTTTTGGCCGTGACGAAGACGAAGTGATGTGTATCTTTTGTATTACATGTTTAGCGCCGGCCTCCATCTACCTTTCGTCTGCCTTTGTCGCCCAGTTTATGAAATAGACTACTGACAGCGACACAGTAGGGGACCAGGACCCACTTTCGCAAAGTGTCGATGCATTGGTCGGCGAAAACGACATGGCATCGATCCAGCCGGCAGAGCTAGCGTACATCCTTGGCCAACCGCGTCGGGCAACACCCACGATTCCTCCGGGATTTTCGGCTCCGTCCAGTAGGCTCGGGACGCCAGGTGGAAGTAGACTTGGAACGCCCGTGACTGGTTCCGTGCGCCCTGCGCTGCCCCCAGGCCTTCCGCCGCCGCAGCACACCATAACGCCCGCCGTTCCGGACATTCACCCAGCATCTCGCTCTTCCACTCCGAAGAAAACCAAAAAAGACTCAACAAGCAGTAAGGCCATTGAGACCCGCCCTGAAGCGGGCAAGACGCCAACAATCGCCAAGCCAGATCTAGATAAGCCAACCGCCGATTCGACTGAGTCTGTCGAAGTTACCGAGGATCGAGATTTTGAGTTGGAGGGGAGGATTGAAAGGAAGGAGGGGAAGGGGAAGACTGAGGGAAAGGCGGAGGGAAAGTCGAAGTCGGAAGGAAAGGGAAAGGCCGGAGAAGCTCTCTCTACAAAGGCCGAGAACCTACCTTCAAAGCCTTCAGCAAAGGCTGAAAAGTCTGCGTCCAAAGTTACTGCTGATACAAAGGTCACTCCGACTCCTTCAACCCCCTCCAGAGGACAAGAGTCTCCGGAAGAAAAGACCGAAGCCAAGTCTTCACTGTCTACTGCCAAGCGTCAACATCCTGGACCTCTACATATTCCGAAGAAGGAAGCTATCATTTCAGATGCTCCCATTACTGCGGATTCCGAACCAGCAAAGAATCCACGAGCAACATCGATATCAGCTTCGGCCTCGTCCCGACCTGTTACACCCACTGGAGTTACTGGGTCCCCGATGAAGCGCACGGCCCCTGGTATCATGCGCATCACCAACACTCCGAAGACAGAGACACCGCCTGTTCTGAGCGCTGCCGCAGCGCCGCCTACCATTCCTACCTTGGCTCAGATTCGTTCAAGACAACCGAGCGTGGCGTCCATCAATCAGCCCGGTACGCCTCTTAGTGAGTTTGTTTCCGATGCAGCTTCGATGACATCCGCATCCATGTCGAGGACCAATTCGCCTCCACCTAATAGCCGTGTTGGGTCTGCGCCTACGCGTTCGAAGACGAAGAGTCAAGCCAGGAAGGAAAGGCAAGAGCGTGCGCGCCAGATGACTGAAGAAGAGCTTGGAGATACCAACACCCCTACGGAGGAGCCTATTAAACAAGAGGCAATTCAAAGTCGTAAAAAGAAGGAAAAGAAGGCCAAGGCCCCCAAGCCTGGAAAGACGGTTGAATCTACGCCTGTTGATAGCAGTGAAGGCACGCCAGCGGTTGAAAAGAAGGTTGAATCGCCAGTTATCGAAGTGAAGGAGGAACCGGCACCGGAGGTTGCCCAGCCAGTGGAGACGCCAAAGCCAGCCCTCACCGCTGCCGGCATTATCGCGAAGCTTGAAGTTGCTGGCGAGATCAGTCATGATGCTGTTGAAAATATTTTTAAGAGCTACCCCTCGGGTCCCAACGATCGTCAGATTGCACTGGCTGACGTGCCGAACCGCGACCGAGAGTACCACATGGAAGACGATATGATCAAAGCTGTTGTGGAGTCTCACCAAGCACAGCGTCTCGGTGGCGAAGACGGCCGCATTTCATCACGGATTCTCGTCACGCCAACAGGCACCATCATGCGCGGCCTGTCCAAGGAAGAAGAAGACCGCTACCTCGAGCTAGAGGCGCGCCTGACAAGTTCGAGGCCGCCAGCCAAGTGGACCCAGACCAAAGACCCGCCGACGCTGGACCTCGACAAGATCATGCGCGGTCTGAACATCAAGACAGTGCTGGAGAGCGCAGAGAAGCTAGCACGCCAACAAGCGCAGCAAAAGGTGCAAGCAGCAGCCGGCACACCCGCCTCGGCCCACGCTGCGCGCGTCTACGACGAAGCCGCCAACTACAACGACGAGTTCATCATGCCAGCCAGCCCGACGACGCCATCGGCCCCCACCGCCGCAGCAGGAAGCACGCCGACAGCGACGTCACTCCCCTCGTCAGCGCAAGCAGCGGCCGTGGTAGCAGCGGCCGCGGCGACGGCTGCTGCGGGCCCAGCTCCGTTTGGCAGCCGCTACGTGCATCTGAACGGGGTGGAGCTTTCGGACGACACGGGCGCAGCGCTGGGCGTTGAGGTTGCGGGCAAGATTGCTGGTGCCGGTGGGTTTGGGCTCGGTGGTCGTGCGGGCGTCTCCGGCCTCGTCGATGTCGAGCGCGAGCTTAATTTTGAAAAGCAGCGCGCGAATGATCTTACGAAGAAGTTGAATGCTGCTGTTAAGCGGAATAGACGCATGGTTGCGAGTGCGGGGCATTGACTCGTGTTTTTGAGGACGGAGGGGCTGGTGTGAGTGTGTGAGGGGGTGTATGGGTATGTGCAGTACAGTTGCTATACATAGAGGAGCTGTGCGATGGCGGTGGTTTTGCTAGATGAGCGAAAGAGAAGGAAAAGTTTTTAGGGATGGATGGGGAGAGTCTCACGCGTTTTGCTGTTGCTGAAAAAAAGGTATTATATATTTGTACAGTATATAGGTGTATGAGTAAATGGGTAAGAAGTGTTGTTGTCTGCTCGAGTGGATTTATCTTGCATTTAATTCTTCCAATAATATTGTATTTCTTCATATCGCCGTTTCGTCAAGATAGTCGATCTATTGTCTTTCTATCAAATAAAATCAAAAAAATAGAATAGACAACTCTCCTTGCGGAGTCCATAAAAAAAATGCCATACTCCTAACCTCCCCTCGTATTCGAAGCGAGAACGCGCGTCCAAAAAGACCATCCCAACTCCCAAGGGAAGTCTAGAAGAAAAGAGCTCTGATTAAAGTTGCAGCCGAGTCGGCCATGACTCTAGGGCTCTAGCCTTTTCGCAGCAGTGATTTTCCCTGCCGGCCTAAGTATGTAGGGTGCTTAAGGATATTCCGATCGACACGAGCTCCATACTTGGCTGCTTCTAAGTATAGCACAATAGCAGCAAAGCCGTTTCCCTCCTGGGTACGCGACGTGGGTTTTGGTTTTGGTTTTTCTCCGATCGCTTGCTTCTAGAACGCCGCCGCGTCCTTGTAGATGCTGCCGATGGCCTTCTTCACGCATTGAAAATTTTCTTCTCGCAAGACCGTACGAACTCGGCCAGCAGCGAGCTGGGGTGGCTGCGTCTCGACTCCCCTCTCCTTCCCCCGCCCTTTTGTGACTAATATCGTGTCTGCTCTGCCTGTGAGCATTGTGTATGCATGCATGCGGGCGTGGGCCGTGCTTTGTGAGCACCACAGGAACGGCACGAAGCGGTCGAGTGGGGTTCGTCTGACGGCTAATTCAATCCAATCCGTACATACATACGTGCCTTGCCCACTTCGTCTCATCTCACGTCGCTGAACTCGCCTCCCCTGCTGGGCTGTAAGCGCACTGCCTGCTCACATCTCTTACCTCGTGCCTAAACGCACACATACTCGCGGCTTGCAGTCTTACCGTGCTGTTTATTCGCCCATTCATCCAGCCAGCCAGCCAGCCAGCCACATGGCCTTGTAGTGAAATCGCGAAACGGCATCACACCCTCGCTGCGCCACCCTTCCGACCGCAGCAGCACGCACAGGCGCCACACCGTCACGCCGTTGGCTATAGGAAGGCACGCACCACCACACCACCACCACCACCAGCGGCAAAATGTGGCAGTGGCAGTGAGTCCAGCGAGCGAGCGACCAAGTGAGCGAGTGAGCAATTGAGTAAGACTAACAATAACTAGTGAGCGCCAGACGCAGCACCCATCCACCCATCCACTCACACCGCACACACGCCCGCAGACATTTTGCATGCACGCCTACCCGCCTGCATCCATCACACGCTCCGGCTCCGGGCTCCCGTCCGCGCACATCGAGCTGCCCGAAGCGGCGTCGTGTCCGCGCTTCGGCCCTCTATTGGCCCACTTGTTCTTTCTGCGACCACGGCCGGTCAACCAATCAACTAACTGGCCATCACCATCACCATCACTATTCCCGTAGCAGACAGCAGACAGCACCATTAACTACCATCACCATCAGCAACAGCACAACAGTACACGTGAGCCATAACCACCATCCCCAACTCATCCCAGCCGCCCATCCCAGCCGCCCATCACCCCAGCCGTCCACGCAGCAGCAGCCCTCCGCGCCAAAAGCGGCACCTCTCCCGCCGCGGCGCAGCAGCAGCAGCAGCACCAGCCAGGGGGGTCCGCCAGGCCGCCGCGTGGTGGTGGTGTGGCTGAACGGACACAGCGGGTCGATTCGATCGCCTCCCGCGGGCCCCGCCGCGACAAGCTGCCGCTTTGGGCATGTCGCTGCTCGCTCGCGTGGTGGTGTGTGTATGACCTCATCGGTGCAAGGGTGAGTTTTTCTCGTCAGGTACGGGACTGGGTCTTGGTCTTGGTCTGGGCTGGGCAGGACAGAGGGTTGCATCGTGGCGGGCCGCCGCCTACCCTATCGAAAGACTGTCGTGACTGCATTGCTCTGCTCTGCTTACTGCTTGCTGCTCATCCTCGTAGTTGCGCTTCGCATTCCTTGTTCGATCTAGCTACCTCCTACCTACTTGTACACGCACGCGCTCCCAGAATTGACACACACACACAAAAAAAAAGAAAAAAACACGACGACGGGGCAGAAAACGAGAAGAGAAGAGCAGAGCCGGGCAGAGTAGGCCTAAAAGGGAGGGAATAGACCAAATTTGGCGTCGAAAGGTTTAAAGACGGGAGGAAAGAAAAGAAAAGAAAGAAAGAAAGAGAGGAAGAAAGGAAGAAAGAAGACAAACCACACACTCCCCAGTTTTTAGTGTTTTTGCTTTCTTCCAAATATGTAAAAGACAAACAACAAAACGGGCCTTTGAAGTCATCATTTTGTCGGGCTGGCGCAAAAACCCGTGACGCCAGGATATTATTTCCGTCCTCCGCCGTAAAACACCGTCTCGAGCCCCCGTATAGCCACGAGTCTGAACGCAACAAAGATAAAAAAAAAAAAAAAAAAAGTTCGTGAAGCCGGTTTTCTCGTTGATAGAGGGGATCAATGCTAAAGCGAGTTGAGACTGAGAAGAGAGAGTGAGAGTGAGAGAGTTCTTTCACGCCCGTGACCTTACGTCATGTCGTGAGCGAGGCAGCACCAGTGCCACGAATACTGGACCCTGTGCATCGCCATGGATAGCTTGCAAACATCAGTGTAGAGAGAGCATCTCGATTCAATGGGCCTCGGATGAAAGTACCTGGGCCAGAACATTCAAGTAACCCCCCCTCAGAAGCGCGTCCGGATCAAAGTGCAAGCTTTGGTTGAGCGCGGCTGCGGCCGTCGCCGCGGCGGCTGCAGCGGCTGCCGCGTTGCTTACGTCGTCCTTGACCCCGGTGTCGGCGCCGCCGCTGCTCGAGGGGCGATTGTCAGCGCCCTTGGAGCCTTGGCGCTCGCCGACGGCCGCCTCGGCAAGGTGCTCGAGCATGTTGGTCGACGCGCCGCCCGTCGACTCGTTGACCGACGCGCGCTTCTTCGCCACGTACTCGCGCACGGTGACGTCCCAGCCGAAACTGGCCTCGGTTTTGCTGCGCGAGAGGAAGCTGTCCAGCTCGCCGAGAGAACGGAGCGCCTCCTCCCGAGTCTCGTCTTTCTCTGCTAGCTCACCGAGAATCAAACCTGCCAGAGCGGCAAAGTGATGGTACGGCGATGTAACCATGACGGCATTGTTGTTGAGTAGCGTCACGATAGCAGTAGCAGGTTGGATAATCTCCGCCGGTGCAGAGTGCGGAAAGAAGCGGACGATAAGCAGACGTACGTGCCAATAGCTGAGTAGAGCCAGAGGATGCGGTCCCTGCGGGAGCGTCTCGTTGAACCTTTCAAGCTCGCCAAGAACAGCCTTCTTCGAGAACGTCAAGACCGAGGCGACTGGACTATGCAAAGACATGATATCGTTTGGAGAAGGATCAGACGCGGCATCCCTTGCAATTTTGGCAAATGCAGACAGTTGCGCCAATATCAGGGAGAGGCCTGAGCTGTCAGCTTGAAACAATAATGAATGAGTTATAACACTTACGGGCCACGGCAAAAACCATTGGAGTGAAGAGTGCTTCATCGTCAATGGTCAAATGATTGCGCTCTTCCGAAACCTTGGGCTCACTTGACGTGCTGACGGCGTGCCAGTGATCGATGATGAACAACACCCAAAAGACCTTGCGGCCAAGGTTCTCGTCACTGTCAAAGTCGATGTTTTCGCGCCTCTGTCCGTATTGCATGGCATTTAGCTGCAATGCACTGCACAAGCCTGCCGCTTGGCCAAGACACATGTCTTTCAACGCACCGGCATGGACGTCCAGCGCCACAGGTCCGTGCTGATCGGCTTCGATGGCCAAGAGTAAGAAACCTTGCACCAGCAAAATACCAGTGCCTTTTGTGAGAGGAGCACCGATGCAACCTGACAGAAGTTGATACGCTTTTCTGGATCTTTCCTCGTGACTAGGCTCAAGCGGCAAACTGGACGAGGGCCAGGCGCGAACGGCGCAGTCAAGCGCAGCGATGAAGGCCTCGCGAATTTTCAAGTCACAATTGCCTAGGCGCAACTTGAGATTCCTGGCATCGAACGGTAAAAGCGGATAAGGTTCCTGGATCACGCGATAGAACCTAAAAGGAATTAGAACAATTTTTACCTTTTGGGAATTTTCACATACTCAGCAACGGCATGATCAGCAGTCTGGCTGAACTCGAAAAAATTGGTAGGATCTTGTTCGAACCCTGTGAAGCTCTCGCGCCGCTCCCAAGGCTGCTGAGCGCCATTTGGCGGTTGTGACAGAGAGGTTCTGTATTGAGAGCCGTCCAGGCCTTCAGACATGGAGTGTGTCCTCTTCCGGCCGTTACCAAACTGCGCAGAAGCGGACGGCGAAAAGTCTTGCAACGATCCAATCGTCTGCTCGCTCAAATTGTAAAGGTTAAGCTCGGGGTGCTGCTGGTGTTGCTGAGTGCCTTGCGGAGAATGTCCGAGCTGCTGCTGCTGTTCGTACTCCAGTCTGCTAAGTCGATCGGCAAGTTCTTTAATGTACCTAGGATTGTCAGCGCTGCTTTTAACGAAGGAGCAATGATTATACCCTTTGCTCGGTCCTCTCTTCATCGGCTGCCTGCTAAACTGACAACGCGCTCCGGTGCGTTTGCAGCTCGTACAAGCTTCAGGCCCATTCTCAGATGTCGCATCACAGCGGATCTGTCCGTTGATCAGCGATCCGCCGTAGTTCCCACTCGGACTACCCACCTTCTTCCTGCGGCACTCGTCGCAGGCGCGTGAAACCTTTGACCGCTTTCTCTGATTGCTATCCTGCTGTCCATAGTGTGGATCCGGCGCCAGGTTCATGGCGTTTTGGGCCATTTGCTGAGGCGTCGACGGCTGCTGCATGGGCGTGTGGACCTGCGGGATGTGGTGAGAGATTGGCATGCCATGCGCCGGGTTTTGAGGCGCCGTCATGGGGGCTTCGGCGGCACGCGCGAGCTGCGCGGTCAGTTGTTCCTCGAGGTGCTGGCCGCCCTGCAACGACAGATGGGGATCCACGGCGCTGTCCTGGGCCGATGGTGACATGTTGCCGTTTGGATGCGCATAGAGGCCGGCGGCGCCAGCGGCCATCTGAGCGGCGTTGGGCGACGGGTACGACTGTGGCTCCGACATGCTTGTCCGACAGCGGCTCGGGACGATTTGCGCGTCGAGGGTGGAGGAGAGGGCGGCGTCGAGGCGCGTTGTGATGGTTTGCGAGCGCAAAGAAGCGCACACGGCTTATGTAATGACGCTAGCCGAACAGGCAGGTCTCGAGGGCTCGCGGGCATGAGCGGCGACGAGAGGGATAGCCATGGTGGCAGCAATGGCACGTCAATTGCACATATCATGGGCACGCGTCAAGAGTGTTGATGACGCGCCGGGCGTCGGAAGCCAAGTTCTTCCTGGTCGGATGGGGAGACGGAGCGGACGCGGATAATAGTATTGCGAGAGCGGCGGGCGCGAGAGCCAGCACCAGCCCAGCCCAGCACCAGCACGCGCAACGCCGTCACCACCTACAGTTTGCTTGGCTGCGGCGGGCCGGCGGCATCATGTTGGTGCTTGCTTGCTTCCCGTCGTCGTCGTCGTCGGGCATCTAAAAATAAGGCAGGATATATTTTTCGTCAAGTAGCAAACACACTAGGTAGAGTTTTAGTTGGTAGGCGGCGTTGATCCGCAAAGACTTGGCAACGGACGGGAGAGGATAGCGTGGCTTCGTCGAGGTTTCGTGTGATCGACGTTGGACGGGCGCGCACGGGCGGCGAGACACGACGCTCTCGACCGGCAAGCGCGGTGGCAGTGTGAGAGCGGTGCCAAAGCAAGCTCTCATCTGAGCGATCGAAGCGTCCTGTGGCCCCGCCCAGGAAGCCCTGGGCGCTACACTAGCCCCAAAAATCAACCGACTCCGCTCGCCCTCAAACTTGCCTTCTCCCCTCGCTGAACCACCACTCCATCCACTCCAGAGAGGAACCGCCTCCCAACCTCGACCCGTGCTGGTAGGCCCTACTCATCTCCGAGTCGAACGCGTTACGGCCAGCGCCATCTGGTGCACGGCTCGGCCCCCTCTCTCTCTCGCTCTCTCTCTTCTCCCCTCCTCGACAAATCGCCCTAAACCCTCCGCTCCCACCCGCCTTGCTGCGTTTCAACCATCCCACCACCACCCCATCCCGCCGCAACCTCCATAGATACCCCTCCCTCCCTGCCTCCCCCCAGTCGCTCGACCGACCCGCCGCCGTCCGCCTAGAGTCTCCACCACCCCGCGCCCGCCGCCAGCAGCAGCAGTCCGCACTCGGCCTGTGCACCCGTCATCAAGCATGCCTATCGTCAATGGCGAGAAATACGCTTGTGATTCGTGCATCAAGGGCCATCGCGTCAGCGGCTGCACGCACTCAGGTAAACCTCTCCGTTCGTCGGTCACGTTTAGCCGGATGCTGCCACCGCGACGATAACTCCATCTGCCTCCTCACTACTGCCGCCAGGCAAGCAGTCTACTTCCCACAGAACCCCTCTCTGACAGGCACGCAGATCGTCCTCTGAAACACATAAATCCAAAGGGCCGGCCTGTCAAGCAATGCGAGCACTGCCAAAAGGCTCGCAAGACAAAGTCTCACCATGCTCGCTGCGACTGCGGCACTAAGAAAGACAAGACAAAGGCCGCCGCCGAAAAGGCCGCCAGCGAGGGCGACCACGACACCACCCTGAACCTGCACCCCGGCCAGGATGACGGATGCCGCTGCTTTCTGGGTCAAGGCGGTCAGTGCATATGCGGGCTGAAGAAGGATCCACTGGACCTGCGCATCGATACGGGCATCCACCGGCTTCCCGCTCACCTCAGCAAGTCCAAGCCGCCGCTCGTCTCCTCTCGATCCGAGGCCCATCTGACCGTCTTTGCCAATGGCCACCACAAGCCTTGCCACGGCCGCCTGAACAACACGGCGCACACGTCGGGCGTCCCGTACAAGATTCCCCGTCATCACACCATGTCGCAGGTCCCTCACCACCAGTCGCACGACAATCTCGGCGAGATCTACAGCAAGACCATGGACCCGGCCCGCCGCTCCGTCGACAGCTTGAACCTGAACATGTCCAGCAACTCTCCCTTTGGCTACTTCACCCCCCAGTCTACGGCCGAAAGCGTTCCCCTGACCCCTCTCGCCGGCAGCATGGAGCACGACACGAACATGTTCGACCCGTCGAAATACATGTTCAGCTCGCAGCCCGTCGACAAGGTGGTCGGAGGGACCAGCATGCCTCACGGTTTGCCCATGTCCGAGAGCGTGCCGGTGCACACGTATCCGTGGATGGACAACATGTACCCCGCTCCCATGGTGCCGCAGTACGGATTGGACAGCATTTCGACGTCGCCCACGGGAGATATCACTCCGGACGTCGAATTCGGCCTTCCCACTAGCCACACAGACATCAACATCAACCCCTGGTCTGCCGGTGATCTCCCCTTGGACCCCAACAAGCTGTCGGAATCTTTCCCGCAGCCCATCTCTCACAGCGGCGATTCTAACCGCCAAAGCATGCCAGGCATGACAACATCTTCAGGCACACAGTCGGAAGTCGGCGAACCCCCGGCCTTTGGCGACATGGACTTGAACAAAATGCAGCAGCCTTTCGGTGACCAGATGCTCGACGGATACCAATTTCGGGAACCTTCGTCGTATCGCTTGAGCACGCAGTCTCTGCAGTCGCTGCAGTCGCAGAACCAGCAGCTCCCCACCTCGGTACCGCCAAACGAAAACCGCCGCTCCCTGGACGTCGACTACATGCGCGGTTCGCAGGGTGGCTTTCCGATGAGTTTCAGCCACAGCCAGAGCCCGGAAAGCATGTTCGTCAGCTCCGCCCCAATGGACAGCCAGCGCATCTACCGGACGGCCGCGCCCACGTCGACGTCCGGATCCTCAGAGTCATCGCGCACCGTCGTGCCAACGACGGGCGAGTACGAGATTTCGTTTCCGCCCGCCATCATCGGGGGTGGCGGCAGCGTCGGTGCAAGTGTCGGCACCGCAGACGCGAGTCAAGGGAGCTGGTTCAACTTTCTCGACAATGGCATGAACAATGGCATGAACATCGATGGTCTTGCGATGCCGGTGGCTATGGACAACACACATACTACACACGAGTATTCGACCTGGTTATAGCACCGGCTGAAAGCAAACCAAATCGACAAGCTGCCAGGCCCCGCCGGCCGCGATCCGCCGCAGCATGTTCCCCTGTAGAACGCAGGCATGCGCGCATGATTTCCTGTTAGAGAGCAGGCATGCAGGGCCGGTCGCAGCGGCAGGGTCTGCCCCAGCATTAGCTGACTGTTTCTTTATCCTTCTGTGCATTTATCCTTCACGACGCCATGACACTATGACGCTGTAGATGCGATGATACCTTGCCCGCCTGTCCTTTCCCCCGACAATCTCGCATATGCACCACCCACACATAGATTTGGTTTTGTTTTGTTTTCAAAGTGCACCGAGTAAGTGAGTTGGCGGATTGGTCTTGGAAAGGAAGGTGCGGCATTCTCCTTGAGTATAACTTTTTGTAGATATTGCATCCGGCCTTAAGCCGGAGTCTGTCTTTTCGGATGTCTGGGCGGAGGGAGTCAAAAGTATAGAGGGACGGCGGTGGGATTTTGATTGGCCTGGCGATTTTGGCCCGGCGAGTTTGGGCCATTTTGCAGCGGAATGCATGCGACGTTCGAATTACGAGTACTTGTGCTGTGGCGGTGCTGTTGATCAGTAAGTCGCGCGGAGGACATGAAGAATAGGCACGGTAACAGGAAGGGCAGGTAGCACAAATGAACATCTAGACTTGAAATCCCTTCATTCTATCGTCTTGTTCTCCATCAGGCAACTCCGTAGGGCCGTCATCAGACGTGTCGTGACTCGACGGCCAGAGGGTCGACAGGGTCAACAGGGTCAACAGACGATCAACAGACGGTCAAACAAACGGTCAACGGTACAACGGTCAACGGCCAAGTCACGGCGACGGCCTCCGGTGAAAAGGCAAGCAGCCATCCCATCGTCATTACGGCGGTTCGCTCTCGCCCGCACTCGTTTCACCCGAGACAAGTCCGAGGCCTTGACGGGGGCAGCAGGCGTCTGACGTCCAGAGTGTCAGATCGGATCTGGATCCTCGAGCCAAGCTGGTCACGCCTACAGCCGCACCTAGGGCCAGGCGGGACAACGGCGGCAGATGGTGGCGCGCGGTCGAATCGAGGCCGGGGACGGCGGCTGGCGGGTTGCATGCGTACGGCATCCGCGTAGGAGCCGCACTGATGGACGATGGATGTCGAAGCAAGCATGCCAAATCAGGATCTTCGACGCACGCCGCCGCTGCCCAGCACACTGCCCGTCCCTTTGGCCTAGGTACCTCCAGACGCCGCTTCTTCTCCACCGGTCAGCGCTCGCTTGGCTCCCGATCTTCCTTGCTGGACGACCATATCGAACTGCACTTCCCGACACGCCCCGACGGGGTGAGAGGCTCGGGCGAGGAGGTGTCCGTGGAGTTTGACTTGGGCCAGAGGATCATCCTTCCTTCCTTCCGCTCGCTCGCTGGCTGGCTAGGAGGTAGGTACTTGGACTAGGCGCTTCGCGAAGGAAGAGAGAACGAAGGAGAACAGACGCCAGGAGCCAAAGCTCGACCACTGCCAGTGCCAGGCCTGCCGCCCCGCCCACGCATCCACTCTTTTCCATCTGCGTGGGCTCCTTCTCTTGCTCTCCCACGGCACAGCCCGCGTGAGGAATTCGGCAAGGCCATGGGTGCCACCTAATCAACACGTAGGACTCGGCGTGTCGTGCCCGCCACCGCCGCGCCAGCACACACACATCGGCACCGTCGCGCCCACGGCCGCCCAAAGCCACTCTCGACTCTCTCTAACACAGCCGCTTCTACTACGTCCCTGCTGTCCGCTCGTCCGCCCGCCCCCGCGCTCAGTCTTCTCCCCTTATCAACCTTCCTTCCACCACGCACCGCACCGCACCGCACCGCACGCCCGCCCGCCCGCCAGGCCGCGCCCCGAACTTTCCGCGCCCTTGCCTACCCCCACCTACCCACCACCTTGACCTTGCCCTTACCTTGTCCTTACCTTGTCCTTGTCCCTGCCTACTCCCTCCCACCCACAGCCCTAGCGATCGCCTTCCGGATCGACGTCGTTTCGAGCCGCTATTGTGTGCTGTGGCAGCGACACGAGCATGCACGCACATACACATACACACACAGACACAGACACAGAGAGAGACGTGAGAGACGCGACGGGAGGCAGGACGTGAGCGCGAGGCAGGACAGGACAAGGCCAGGTAGGCCAGACCTTCAGTCAGTCCGTCTTCCCTAGTCTCTTCCATCTTCCTCGCGAGACAGCTCCCAGCTCGTCTCCTGAGCACAAGCACGCCCCGCGTTTGCCTACCACGTACATCGCTAGCACGTCCCTCCTCTACACTACCTACGCACTACGTAGGCGACGGCCTTGCGCGCCCCGGGGTGCTGGTCGGAGATAGCTCGGGAGAGCGTGGGCTGGGTTGGGTTGGGTGCGTGGGTGTGTGGTGTGCTGCTAGATAGGAATCTCTCTAGCTAGCTGCTGCTGCTGCGGTAGTGGGTGGGGTCCTCGCTGTGGCTTGCTGGATTGGATTGGGTGCGTTGCGTTGCGTTGCGTTGTGTTTGGTACTTGGCTGGGTTGGGCGGATGCGGTGCGTGCGTGATGTGTGTGGGCTGGTGGTGCTGCTGCTGCGAGGGTCTGAGTAGGTAGGTAAGTAGGTAGGTAAGTGGTTGGCTAGGAGCACAATAGGTGCAGTACAGTACAGTACGTTACACGGACAGGGACAGGACAGGACACAGACACAGGCGATAGGGCTGAGGGCTGAGACAGCAGGGCCGCCAGGACCGACGAGCTCGGCGCGCTAGGCTGCTGCCCGGCCGCCGGATGCGACGTGACGTAGGGAGCTAGTACGAGGGTAACAGTGACGGTGACATCGCAGGATATTAGAGGGGACTGAGTGAGTGAGGGCGTTCGTTTGGGAGAAGCGAGTAGTGAGATTGCAGGGTCGCCGGTTTCATGTGCTTGCCGGATGGACGAAAGGACGGAGGGAGGCGCCGGGTACGGTAGCTGTTGCTCGGTTGCTAGGGCGAGGATCGCGTGTGCTGGTTGTGGTTGTGGTGCGCTGGGATAGTGGCGCGTTGGGTAGGTTGGTGTTGAGTGCGGTGGTGGTGCTGCAGGAGACGAGACGACAAAGCAGAAATTGATTGGATGGGATGGGACGGAACGGCGCGGATGCGGGGAAACGTGCTTTGAGACGCAAAATCCTTCGAACAGTACGTAGAGTACGTACATTGAAAAACGCATATATCGACGCTTACCTACACGGGACATCGAGATCAATCGAACCCGCTAGCCATCGCCCAAACATGACGTCACAGAAAAAGCAAACACAGCTAGGTACCTTAGGTACGCTACGCGGACGCGGGCCGAGGCTTCGGCCGACCTGCCCTAGGCACGCACCTTATGGAAACATCCAGACCGCTCGCTCAACACCAGACATCGAATGAAAAGGAGTCTGTCTGCCCACACCCACCCATCCATCCAGATCCAGTTCCAGCCCCTTCCACGCCTGCCGGCACTCCAATCTCTCTGCTTCGAGCGCTCGAAACATCGGCCGCTGCTCGTAAGCTGACCTCCACATGCCGCGGCGCCGAGGTCCTCGGCCGCTCCAGGGCCCTCGTTGCCACGGCGACGCCGGCTGTGCTCGAGTCAGTGCCTACGTACTGTACGGCATCCGATGAAGACAGGACACACACCGTGGTTGACTGGCAACGCTGGCGTGGAGAGGTCGGCTTTCTAGCTGTGTATGCGTGTGTGTGGATTTGTGGGCTAAGCACGCTTCCGGACGCCGTTTTCCCTCTTTCGATTGCTGGCAGTGGCTCGATCAGGGGGGCTTGGGCTTTTGCGTGCTGCGGTTGGCGAGGGGCGGGAATACGACGGGAATAATCCGTATGGTGGTGGGGTGAATGCGTTGGTTGGGGGGTGGAGGGTGTTTTGTGGGGTTTGTTAGCGTGGTGTCGCGTCTGGCTTGGACGGGGCGTGTCGTGGTGTCAGTGTCTATCTCGTAGGTTGGTTCTTTCTTGCTGTCTACTTGCTTGATTTCTTGTCTTTTCTGTCTTTGTCTGCTCTTATGCGGCCGAAAATGTTTACAACGCCAGTAACGGCTTGCAGCTTCAGGGCTTTGGAAAGATATCTCACTTTGCGTCTCATTTCAGCTTTGACTGTCTAAATATTTCCCTCTTCACAAGGGCCAGAGGTGTACAGAAGTTTACGCAAGCCTTAGCCTGACATACCGACAAACGCTTTCGTAAGGTTCGGAATTCGGTATCCAGCTCAAAGATTCTTATCCGTCTTGACTTTATGGGTTTCTCGATTTTCAAACTAGATGATTCAATCTTGAGCATTATGCTAAGGGGCGCGAGAAGTAGTATCGGGTTTAGGTTTTGAGCCGCGGTGTTTTTGAGCAGCGGCGGTAGGACTGGAGTCTTGTGCCGACGAGGAAGGGATTTGGCGGAGTCCGACTTGGAGAGGGCAGCGCGCGAGGTTGAACAAAGGCTACGGACGCGAAGAGCGTTCGGGGAGAGATTGAAAGAAGATGAGTATGGTGGCGGCAAGGCACAGCGCAGTGTCTCTGAAGGGCTCTTTGGTGCGTTGGAGAGTGGGTTCGCTGCGAGGGAAAAATGGCCGAGTGTACTGGCGATGATGCAGTGGTGTGGCGCCAATTTTTGCTGAGGTTGTGGCGTGCTGAAGTGTGCGTGGTTGGGAAAATGGATGAGGAAGGATCAAGCAAAGGACGCGTGCCTTCCTTTCCTACTTCACGTTTGCGCGTGGTCCTCTCTCCGCCTCCACACGCGTCGATTTTTCTTTTCTCTGTCAATTCCTTAAAATTTCTTTGTGCGGTATGCGTCTCAGACTCTTTCGACAGCGCAACGTGGCGCAGTGACTCAGTGAAAGGCATCGAAATAAGTTGACTATCTCCGATTCTTTGACAGCCCGTCGAGCTACGTCAGGCCGCAGCAATGCGGCGGATGTGAGTACACTGCCCCATTTTTTGCCAGCTGCTCTCTCGCGCAATATGAAACTGACACTCTTAGCTTGAGCTGCCGCCGCGACTCCCGGCTCCCGGCTCTTGAAAGCCTGATATCATTCGACACGGCGATTTGATGTACCACGAGACCCGTCAGTGGATGACGCTCCCCAGGGAAATGACGTGGTTTTGTCTGCCCACGGTACTTGACTTGCGAGCAGATGCAGGGTATAAAAAGAATGCGCGAAGGATTCGTTTCGAGATCGGAAGCAGCTTTTGCATATTGTGCGAGACGAACTTACAAGATACATGGTTAACCGGCAACGAGAGAATCAAGGGGTGGTGGAGCCCCGACGTAAAGCAACAGAAGGCAGTATTGCAGCAATCAAGAACAAGAAGCCAGAATCTTTGCTCTCCGACTCATTATTGGCTTCAGAATATGATGCTCATCGGTATACCAGGACGGGAGCGTCGGTTACACAGTTACAGTAGTAGTAGTAAAGGTAAGCGTCACTGACTTGCAGTATCTAATAGGAGCAGGCAGGTTTCATGGAATGAGCGAGTTCCCACGCGGAGCCCGACCAACAGCTCGTCTACATGTTTTCCGCTTGATCTGGATGTGCTGCATCTTGAATGTCGGGTGGAATGTTGATAAGCGGATCTTCCGCGAGTTTCCTGGGAAGAATGCGCTAGATCGAGCCCTCGGTCTTTTTTCCGTTTTCATTTTTATAGTCCCTAAATGCTACCTTTGAGCTTCCATGTGTTATACTATTATATCTCTTAAAATTTCCTCGTCACTTTATATCATGTCTAATAATTATAGTCTTGGGAAATACCCTCGCGCTTTCATACGTGCGTATCTTTTTATTCTTTTGAAGAACTGCGTACCCTCGCATCTTCTTACATTTATATCTTTATAGAACACCCTGGCCCTTCGTGTATTTTCGTAATTGTATTTTTATATATACGATTATGATTATTCCCTCTCGTGTTTATTTTCGTAGGTACTTGGCGACCACCAATTACAGTGCTATAGTATGTTATAACTACCTAAGGAGTACTCGATGGGCATGGCAGATAGAATAATTAAATGGGTGAGTAATTCGTCCACTATCCCTGTTTACTTGTCGTCTTCAGGCTATTATGCGTACGTTCAGGAGACAGAAGAGGGTCGCCGTCTGGTCTTTCAAGTGCACAGGCATGCTCTCACTACTAATTTAAACTGCCGTGAGAATTACAAGAAAATGAGACATGACGTGGCGACGTTGAACAGAAAGCTACGAAAGTGTTGTCGCGGTGGACGGTGTTGCTCGGACCCGCTGCTCCTATCGCTTCACCGCCCGCCCGACTATCATCCCGCTGCGTCAGGGCGCCAAGCATCCAACGCTCTCTAACAACCAAGTTTCAGAATACCCCTCCAGCTACGTGTAGCTCTCGACTCCCTCCGCCTCTAGAACCTTGCCATCCACCTAGCACCTACTCGACCAGCGAGCACAATGAAGATTCTCTACATCGGCGTATGTACGCCCCTCACATAGTCTCCGCAAGCTCTCCGCTGACGTCGCGTGTCCAGATTCTCAAGAATGAGCAGAAGCCAGCTGTCGAGCTTTGCTCGGAGCGCGAGCTGAGCACCTACTCCCGCTTCACCCGCACCAGGTAGGCGATACCAAGGCTGGAGCTTGCGACGTTGCGCTAACCTCGTCTAGCGTCGGCGAGTTCATGACCCTGTTCAGCAAAACGGTTGCCGAGAGGACGAGACCAGGAGAGCGTCAGGACGTGGAAGAGCAGTGTAAGAAACCGCGTATGAAGGTCGAGGAGTATTCTGACAGCTGTAGCCTACACATTTCACGCCTACGGCCGCACCGAGGGAATCGCCGGCATCATCATCACGGACCACGAATACCCCGCATTGGTAGCTCACCAGCTGCTATCCAAGGTCGTCGACGAGTTCCTTAACAAATACCCCCGCAATGTTTTCACTGTTTCCGATCAGGAATGTCCCATGCCCGAGCTGAAGGAATATATCGTCAAGTACCAGGACCCGCAGCAGGCGGATAGCATCATGAAGATTCAAAAGGAGCTGGACGAGACGAAGATCGTGCTACACAAGACTATTGAGAGTGTGTTGGAGCGTGGAGAGAAGATCGACAGCTTGGTAGCCAAGAGCGACGGCCTGAGCGCTCAAAGCAAGATGTTCTACACGCAGGTAAGTCTTGTATTTGTATGAGTGTTGTCGTGGGATGTACTGACATTTTCACAGGCAAAGAAGCAGAATTCCTGCTGCGTGGTCATGTAAATTCCGCTTGGTGTTAGGGAGCACTTTCACGGCAGGTTGCATAATGATCTTGACGACATTCAGACACATACCCGATCATCGCTCATACCCTGTCAAATGCTGACTTCGGTACAATTGCGCTTGCAACATGGTGCGTTCATCCGGTTTGATCATTGCATTTACGTTCAATCCCGCATTCTTTACATTTCAAGTTCGATATCAGCATTCTTTCCATTGGCAACTGAAATAGATCGCACTAGATTAAGCATGTTACCTTTTGTATTGCTAGATGTATTGCCTATCCTACCGTGGTCCTAAAAAGCTTACAATGCCAACAGTACCCCATCACTCACGTCATAAACAGCATCTGAACAAGCTCCAGCCAGCCTGGTTTTCCACGTCCACAGCTTGTGGAGCATGTTTCTCTGAGTCGCCAAAATCCAGCTTCGTCGATGAATCGTACGACATAGCTTCAGGGACGGCACCGCAGTCAGCCATGCAATCGACGTACTGCTCGCGTAGAAACGTTACGAACGCCTCTACATCGGCCAAGATGCTCATGGTGCCCAAGCTCGCGCGCACCAAGCCGACGGGCTTTCCTGCATGGATCTCGGAGGGTGCGCCGCAGCGTAGCCCTTCGGCATACAGCTGGCGCAACCCCGCCCCGCTCCATTCGAGATACGCCGCCGCGCCCCCCGGATTGCACAGACTGCCGCTGCGCAGGTAGATATGCGCGGCGTTGGCGGCGGTCTCGACCGCAGATGGCGCGATGATGCTGCCGTCTGGACGTTGGATGTTGAGTGCGATGGCGGCACCCTGCGTGCGTGCGTCACCATACATGGCCGACTGCTCGTTGTAGATCCGCGCGACTGGCAACCCGTTGCTATGACGCAGACTGGTGAGCCCGGTGTACAACTCACGGACCAGCGCTGCGGTATGAGAGCTAATTTGCGCCATGCTGCCGAACAGCTTCTCGTGCGTGTCGATGGCGGTTCCGAGCGCAATGATCGAGTGGAACGGCAGCGTACCGTCCTCAAGGCTCGAGTGCAGGTTGATCGTCTTCTTGGCGTGGAAGGCGTCGTCACCCAGCACCGTCACCATGTCAACAGACCCACCACCGAAGTACCGTCGGCTTGCAAGAATGCGCATCGTTGCGGGGTTCTTGCGAATAATCAGCCCTCCCAAATCCGGAAAGCCGAATATCTTATAGAAGGAGACGCACGTGAAGTCTGGCGCCGTGGCTGGATTGCGGAAGACATTATTCAGCGGCGCCGTTGTGGCTAAGGCTGCGGCGTCGAGCAAGATGAACGTGTTTGCAGAGTCCGTCTGAGGTGACGCACGGATCTCGGCAGGCCAGGACAAGGGTAGACGACGACCTGTCATGTTGGACTGGCCGGGGTAAGCAAAGAGACGGACTTGGTCGGTCCGCCGGCCGAACATGCCAGACATGCAGCCACCAGCCATGCGGCCAGAATACGAAAGGCGGGGATGCCGACCGCCAATCCACGCTTCCACTTCGCGATCGCTCTCGAAGCAGTGGTGACCGCCTGTGGCCGCCTCGCGCATGCCGACTAGTGAGTTGTGTCCGTCGCGGTGATAGCCGTACCAGAACTCGGCACTGGAGGCTTGTCTTCGTCCTGCGACGTCATAGGACGCCGACACGTGGTCTCTGAAGGCGTCGGCAACGAGCTTCATGGCGGCAGTGGCATTGGCGACGAAGACAATGTCGAAGTCTTCGGGATCTGCGCCGAAGAAGCGGAGGGTCTGCTCTCGGACGCTGTCGACGCGAGCTCCGGCGAGGGCAGACGGCTCAGATGCGGAATGCGGGTTGCCGAAGACGTTGGTGATCAGGTCTTCGGAGAAGGTTTCAATGAGAGATTTGGCGTAGAGCTGTTGGTCAGATAGTTGGTGATGGTTGTGGTTGACTGAGACGATTGAGATGGGTGGTAAGGTCGAGGTGGTGGTAAGGTGGAGATGAGTGGACTTACAGTTGCTCCTCCATGGTCAAGGTACGTCTTGCCTGTTGTTTTCAGTGGTTGTTTGAGTGGTTGTTCTTTGATTTGGGGTTGACAGACCCTTCAATGCTGGGTATTCCTCTTCCCGAATTTTCTCTATGGCAGGGTTGTAGAAAGGCAGCGCCATCTCTTTGTCCGCCGATTCTGTGAATCCTTGAGAGCTGGCTCTTGCCTCAGAACTTGGTCTGTCGATAACACTGGATTTGAAATAGATACAACGCGTTGAATTCATTATGCGATACGGGCATTCGCCGATAATCTGGGAATGTTGGTGCAACTAAGAAAGACGGGGCTTTGAACGTTCAGCTTGAGCTTGAGCCCCGGTGGCTTGAAAGAAATCTGACTCTCATTGTCTCCTATCGACCTCGGACAAGGGTATTTCTGGCCGCAAGGCAAACAATTGACCATGCCGTCGTCGTACAAACAGGTCTAAGCGAGGTGGCTGAGAGGGTTTGACGAATGAGCGAAAAAGAGGCGGGATTCAGGAACTGGCTCGAACAAACGGTTTGTCTTGACGGCGCGTTCCTTGTGAAGTAGTCTTGGTTGGGTGTAGGCCGTTGTAGAGACGGGGAATGAATCGGACCAATATTCTGGAGGTCGCATGGGACTCCCGCGTGAGATCGCCCTTGCATGCTCAGGTAAGTGCGTGCCAATTAGAAGATTCAGAACTTACATAGGATGAGATGCTGGCGACGATGTGATCCGGGTTCTGGTATCGGTCTACAGCAGTCGTAGCAGCTTCTCGCGTTGCAGTACTTCATTAGGAGCACCCGGCGAAAATGCGCCCAGTCGAATGGCTTGACTGTTGGCCATGGTGGCGCGCGATAGACATGGACTGGGGAGAAGGTTTGCGGAGTGCATTCTATGTTGGGGAAAAGCTTGATGACTGGCTGAGACCACTCAGCCCAAGGAAGCTGGAACGCCGGTCAGCACTGGCACATAAAGCATTGACTAGGTGTCTCGGATAATCGACGACGTTGAAGTGGGACAGGGATGGTGCAGAGAGGGTGTTTCTTCAAGATAGGAATTCGGTGACGTTGTCTGGACTTGGTGAAGCGCACTGGATCCCCTCGCCGTTGGATTGGAGGTTGGCGACCAGTTTGCATTCGCTATCTTGGCTGGCTATTGACGCACGTACCTGTTTCTGCTGTCAGCAGCAATCCGGCTTATGGCTGCTCCTACGCTTCCTCCCGCCGGGCAGTGTGGCTGAGCGGCACACTGACAGTTGAAGCGCCTTCGCGTACGACACAACCGCATACAGTCGCACAGTTGGATCCTTCGGTTATGCGACCAAGTACCGTGCCCCGCCTTGGTGTTGCGGTCGAAAAGGACTAGCGCATGTCAGCTCTGCATCCAGTCACCGGACCAGCGTCTTGACATTGGCGACAGCGCTGACATTCGCCTATCCAGGAATGGCGACGAGGACGCCATATCGGGCCAAAATGTTCGCCGGTCACCATGAACACGGGATTTTTCAAGGCTGCCATCCTTCCTGAGATCTGAGGTCGCTTCCGCAGGCTTCATCGCAACGCACTCCATTTCCTGTCAACATCCACACTGTCACCACCCTGACGGGATACAGCTCAATGGAAGATGCCGAGAAGGGTCTGGGGGACTTTACCCACCTCATGAACAACACTGTACGCAGTTATGCCTGGGAAGGTGTCACCGTTGCCGTCAAAGACAGACAAACAAAGCAGCCCAAACACATCTTGTCAGACGTGACGGGCTACATCAAAGCGGGCGAGCTCATTGCTTTAATGGGGCCAAGGTGGATGTCCGTCGAAACAAACAACTAATGCTAACTTTTTCAGTGGCTCCGGAAAAACAACGCTCCTCGAAGTGCTTGCTCGCAGAGAAGCGCGGAATGCGACGGTCAAAGGGTCTTTGCTTCTCAATGGACACCCGACTTCGTTGCGTCATTTTCGCAAAATTTCTTCGTACGTCGAGCAGGAGGACGCGCTGCTTGGCGCCTTGACCGTTGAGGAGACACTGAACTTCTCTGCTAAGCTGTCGTTGCCAAGGTAGCTTGCCTGAAACTTTCAACCTGGATTGGTGTTGACATACAACTTAGTACCGTTTCCAAAACAGAGCGTATCGAACGGATCAACTCCTTGATGGGTTCTTTCGGCCTTCGCCGCCAGGCCAAAACTCTCATCGGCACTCCGATCCGCAAAGGCATCAGTGGCGGCCAGAAGAGACGACTGAGCGTGGCCAGCCAACTCATCACAAGCCCGAAAATCCTCTTCCTCGACGAGCCTACGAGTGGGCTGGACAGTGCGGCGAGTTACGAAGTCGTCAACTTTGTGAAGGACATTGCCAGGAGGAACAACGTACGTATTCGTTCAGTCAAGACTCGTTTGAATGGCCAACCTGGGTAGCAACTTCCCACTCCTGCGAAGGAGTTTATCGGCATATCTGGTTATGTTTCGCGGAGCCGTTCGCACACCCTTACGCTCATGGAGAGGGGAAAGCAAAAAACAGGCAATGTAGAAAGGGAGCGAACTGCAGTGAGCATAAACTAACTTGTTCGTATTTATTAGCTTCTCGTCATTGCCTCGATCCACCAGCCCTCTACGGCAACCTTCGAGCTCTTCGACAAATTGCTACTCTTGTCCCAAGGCAAGACCATCTACAATGGCCCGGTGTCGGCCGTCCAGAACTACTTTGCCGAAATGGGGCACCAGATGCCTCTCTACATGAACCCTGCCGAATTCCTCATTGACCTCGTCAACACCGACTTCACTCAAGACCAGAGCGCCGCCGATGACCGGCTATACGGGATCCAGTCAAGGTGGAAGACATCGGAGAATGCGGTGGTCATCAGCCAGGAGATTGTGCACGAGTCGAAGGGCACACAGCTCCGCAGCTCAAATTTCCAAGGCAGTGCGAACCGCTTAATGGTTCCGCTCACCCTGATCCACAGAGCATTCATCAAGAGCTACCGTGACGTAATCGCGTACGGCATCCGTATTGCCATGTACATGGGTCTTGCGATTTTGATGGGCACGGTCTGGCTGAGACTGAGCACGGAGCAGAAGAACATTCAGTCGTTCATCAACGCTATCGTAAGTTTGCTGCCTGGCCTTCTGTTCTGGTCTAACACCTACAGTTCTTCGGCGGAGCTTTCATGTCCTTCATGGCCGTCGCATACATTCCCTCCTTCCTCGAAGATCGCGCCCTCTACGTCAAAGACCGCGCCAACGGCTTGTACGGCCCAACCTCCTTCATGATCGCCAACTTTGTCACCGGCATCCCGTACCTCTGTATGTTCCATTTTATATTTCCTCTTCCATCCCTCAAGCTAACTTCTTAGTCATCATCGCCATCCTTTTCTCCGTAGTCTCATACTGGCTCAGCAACTTCCAGCCGACCGCCACCGGCTTCTGGAACTGGGTCATGTGGCTATTCCTCGACCTCCTCGCCGCCGAATCACTCGTCGTGCTCATCTCGTCCGTCGCGCCCATCTTCGTCATCGCGCTTGCCGCCACGGCCTTCGCCAACGGCCTGTGGATGAGTGTCGGCGGCTTCATGGTCGCTCCCGCGAACCTCAATGTCTTCTGGCGCTATTGGGCCCACTACATCGACTACCAGGCGTACGTGTTCCAGGGTATGATGGTCAATGAGTTCAAGGACAGGACATTTGGCTGTGGTAGTGGTTGTCGTTGCATGTATGCTTCGGAGCTGGAGGGACAGTGTCGCATCGCCGGCACGGCCGTGTTGAGGGAGTATGGCTACTCGGTGCATAAGAAGGGCGAGTGGGTCGACATCCTAATTGCTATTGTCGTAGGCTATAGGATGTTGGGGTGGTTGGCGTTGTACCTGAAGAAGCAGTAGGAGATGGCGCTGGGGATGAGAAAATGTGAGTAGACGCGTGATTTCGATAGTGTAGTGTGGAATTGTAACATGACAATAGGCAATTCATCCACTTGAAATACTGTCAAAGCAATGTTTGCCCAGGTGGGTTTGTGCTCGTGTGTTGGGGTTTCACTGACTTGGTGGCATATAAACGTAGGCAAGGATCTTGAATATTATCACCCGTTCCTCAATAGACTATATACAGGATCTGGCCTCGTTAAAACCCAGTGGGAAAAAAGAGTGTCAGACTTTAAAGCACTACCGTCGCCATTGCTTCCTCCATCCCTCCGCAAGCAAACGAGCCATTGTATCTTACCTATGTTGTGATCTGCCTCCTCGCTGCAATAGCAAGGCTCCGGCAGGAGCAGTAGGCGCCTGCTAAATAGCAAGGCTCGGCTGCAGTGGCTAAGCCTGGCGATGGGTCAATGCGTCTTACCTACTATGTGATCTGCCTCCTCGCTGCAATGGCAAGGCTCCGGCAGGATCAGTAGACGCCCTACTAGATGACCAGCCCTCTCGCAGCAATGGCAAGGCTCAGCGGCGGTCAGTAGTTGTAGACTTAGCGGTGACTGAAATATGGAGAAAGCAAAGGGAACAGAAATTCGACTTGGACGAGTTGCCTTTTGACTTGACCCGCTCACTCGCGGAGCTTGTGGAGCCAATCAACAATGCTAAACCAGCAAAGACTGCTAGGTTCAGCGGCGACTCTCGTGACGACTTCTCCGACTACGGTACCGGTCACGCGATCTGCTCCGATCGCGGTGGCGGTCATCCCGATGGCGGTCGTCTCGGTGGCGGTCGTCACGGTGGCGGTCGTTTCGACGTCTGGACGTCGAGCGAGGGCGAGACCGAGACCGAGACCGGGACCGGGACCGAGAGTGACGACGGTTGTCGCGGTCAGGTAGCTGCCCATAGGCAGCGTACTCCTGCCCGTAGGGAGCATGAGCAAGCGGAGGGGGGTAAAAGCCATACGGCGGGAGAGGCTGCTGCTGCAGGATTCCGTGGTAGACAGGCTGGTGGTGGTGTACCGCACCGGGGTCGTGACCAGGTGGTGGATGTTGCTGCTGGGCACCATGGCGGCGATCGCGCTCAAAACTGCGACCGACCCTCAGTGCTCGCAGCTCCTCATCCCTGGCACGAACCTCGGTCCTGAGCGCATCATTCTGCCTCCGGAGGGTCCTAATCTGCTCGTTCCTTTGCCTGAGCAGATCCTGATACCTGTCCCTGAACCTGTCTACGTCAGCTTGTGGGAACGGCAGAACCTCCCTTGGCGTGTAGGGTGGCGGGGGATCATCTTGTGGCGTGCCACGGGTTCGCACAACCCGGATGATGATGTTGCTGGACGCGTTGCTGTCCGATGCTTGGTCGTTCATGTTGGCGTCTGGCATGGTTGTTGGTGTGAGAATGGAGAAGAAAAGAGAAGAAGTAAACGCGCAGGCGACATGTGCGCAGCCTTCACTTCATTGCCCAATCGGGTTAGCGTGGACAGAGTGCGGACAACGTAACTTTCAGACAACCCTTTCCCATCTACTCATGTCGTTTGACAACGAGTTCAGCATACTGCCGCTCTTGTCTGGAGATGTGTCAGGATGGATCTGAGTGATTACTCGCCATACTCCCCATGTGGATGCCCACGGCCTCTATATAAGCAGAAGCGTCGCCTGCAGTCATGACAGCTGCTGTATCATGGCCGAAGACAGGCTGCTGTATATGCTCACGCTGACATGGGCTAGAGCTTCAGCTGGCTGCGACAGAGTAGACACGCACGTCAATTACTTCAGTCACATCTGCCAGCTTGCAGTCCCTGTGAACTCAGTCAGTGCAGTCACCTCTGCTTGCTCCCTGACGTCATCCACCAGGCCCTCGTCTATATAAGTGCGCCCTCCCCCCTCCAATCTGGCCTTTTTCCCACTATGCCTCTTGCCCGCGCATTCTCACCCTTCACCTTGCTCGCAGGCGTTCTGTTCAGCACCATTCGTGCGCGCAGCCCCTACGCATTTTGCAGGCGTCATCTTCCCCCAAGTCGCGGAGATTTCAGCCTCTAGCGTAAGTAGCCTTGCGGCGAGATTCAGTTTGTTGGATCCCGTCGCGGTCATCACGCCCGCGTTCTAGTGGAGAGGCTTAACCTTGCGACCCCTGAGCGTAGAGCGGGAAGATGGTGGCCGAACAGAGGTTGCTCTTCGGAGCCTTGAAGTCCTCATCCCGTGGTTGGCTTTTGCCGCCATTACTGGACATTGTGCCAGACTGGTAGTGCCTCCTTAAGAAGCCACCAGTAGGAGGATCCGAATGGTGCTGGCCCTTTCGGCGTTGCTTCCTGCTTTTTTGGCGGTGCTTCTTGCTTTCAAGTCCGGTGCTCTTTTTTCCCACTGGGTTTTTAACGAGGCCGGACCGTGTACATAGTCTGCAGTAGGGGCTGCATTATCCGATTGTACTTTAAAATGATGATTGATTTCCTGAAAACAATGCTCATCTGAAGTGAAAACTGACGCCGTTCGACAACGAATGCCTACATTGTTGTTTTTGGGGTCGTGGTGAGCCGTTGAGGGCGCATGCGGTTTCATTGCTGCGGCTACCGGCGTAACAATGCGAAGCCTTTGTCGCTACATATCAAGCGCAAAACGTGGAGACAAACTGTTAAGGCCAGTACGAATACGCAGGGCTGCGCACCAAAGACACGCGACGACGACGTGAGTTGCCAGCCACCTTCCCGATCTTTCCTGTCCACTCCGCTCCACTACACACCACGACCAGCGATTCAAGTCACGCGCATCAACGGATAATGGTGTAAACGCAACATGGAGAGACGCTACTCAGATCATTACCGTCCGCGGTACGGCGACGGTAAGTCACGATTTCTGGATGATGGTACAGGACAGAACTGACACTGGCACCTTGACAGCGGAGCAAGGAAGGCAAAATGCCGAGAGAGACAACCGTAAGACTTGTCCCATCCTAAATGACATGGTTCAGGTATTTACACTAACAGAATTCCAAGCAGGCTACGCAGCTGCCCTTGCCAACCTCCCGGCGCAAGCGCAATACCAACCAGCGTCGCCTCTACCTCAGCAGTTCGCTCCATACAGTCCATTTCCTAACTACCCAGGATACACCCAGGTATTCGGTCAAGGTTATGAACAAGGTGCCCGCGACACTGCGCGTTATCAGTTTCCTCCGCCCCCTCAGCCGTCTCTACCGCTGCGCGACTACCCGGACTACGACCGAGCGCCATACAAGCACGACACTCGCGACCCTTCTCGCCGCATGAAAGACGAGCCATACCGTGATCGCCGCTCAATGCCACCTCCTGGCTCTCGTCATGGCACCTGGCTTCCTACCGACCCGGGTCACGATCGACTCCACTTTCGCGGTCCGCGTCGCATGAGCCACTATGAAGAGAGAACGCGGGACAATTTCTGCTCACCTCCGCGCTCTCACACGATTGGTCGTCCGCTGCGTGACAGAACTCGATCTCCACCTCGCGGTTTTCGAGGTGAGAGGCGTCGTAGCAGATCCCGGTCAGAACTCCGCCGCCCCGTTACCGGATCAGAACTCCACCCCGTTCCCAGAGACCTTCTTCGCCAGCCGATACGGAGGTTTCTTTCCTAGGAGCTGCTAGGCGCAACCAGAAGACAGTCGCAAGATCTAAAGAGAAGAGTCAAGACGCTATAGCGCGGGACAAGGCTCGCACCGCAAAGGAACACGCCATGGCCATGGGTAAACAGAAGCCGGCAAGAGAGCGCAAGTCGACTTTGTGGAGAGAAATTGCTGAGCCTTGGGCCAAGGGTTTGAATCTTTGCTATTTGCACTTTCGCACGAAAGTTGGCTGTCGCGGAAGAAGCAAAGAATGCCCTAAGATCCACAGTATCAGGTACCTCACGCCGGAGGAACAACAGCGCATCCCCGAAGCCGAAAAGAAACTCATGCTCGCGCAAGTCAAGGCCAGGATTGAAGCCGAAAACAAGAATGCCAAAATCAAGAAGGAAAGGGAAGAGATTGAAAAGACTTTTTCTCAAGCTGCCAACGGACAACACGACGGTGGCCGTGCAACTGATGGAGAATGGTGAGATGCCTATTATGTCGACTCATCACCGTGCAAACTGCCACGGCAAGAGTTGACCCATGCGAAGCGGCAGACATTGCACAGCCACCGTTCACACCCATTCAAGCCTTCAGACCATGGACGAGGCAATGAACAACCCGAAAGAAGCCTGGAAGACAGTGGTTCAAACATGTCTGACTTACGACAGTCTGTTATTTTGAGATCTTCTAATCACAGCAGTCTTATTGAAACCTGCTGTTCCCTCAACACTACGGACAAAGACCACAGTTGCGGGATGCAGGTTAGGAAAATACGGATTGGTTCTATGTTCCTGGACTTCGAGAGCTCTGGTGCTTAAGCGGCGAGCGAGTGGCATGTGTCTTATCGTTTCTGGAAGTTCCTAGTGGCTTCTATGCTTTGTTCTGATCTGATCCTTACTAGCATGATTCTATATTCTCACTGGCATCTTGACGAGCCACAGCAGAGTAGATAGGAACAGGTAGACTTCATTACATCAGCGAATAGAGTGAATATTCGAATTTGTTTCCTTGCCTGAGGTGCATCTCACGGTTGTAGGAGTGAGAAAAAATGGAGGAAAGAGGCACAGAGTACGCATTCCAGCGCCTGCCAGACGGTCAAGGCTGGAGATATGCGCGCAGCTTTCACTTCTGTTGCCTAATCGGGTTAGCGTGGAAGAAGTGCCCACACTTAGGAGCTTCCAGACAACCCGTCTCTCCATCTCCACGACACCCACCTGCGCACCACATCCACTGCAAATGACACACCGTAAGCCAGCTCTCGCTCTCTGCACTAGGAAGCTAGAATCTATCACTGACGCATCCAGACGTCTCCCTTTAAATCCAATAAATACTACGACAGAGGTAGGTGAAGTGAAGCCACTGGCGTGCTGGCTTTGCAAGACCTGACAGATCCACAGAGGCTTTCTTCCGAGAGTGCGCGGAGGAGCATGCGGGTAAGTCTGACCTCTGTTCTAAAGCAGTATGTATGACTGGGGCTCGACTGACTTTCGCATAGAATATGCGGCGCTTCAAGCGGCTCGTCAAGCTCAGTTAGAAGCCGAACTTGCGGCTTACGTCGCGCAACCCTACGTGCCGGAGCAACAGCCGCAGGTATTGCTATCTGTTTATTACCTCTACGGCTATTCGCCTTACCAACAACTTGTGCCGCAGCAGCAGCAGTATGAGCAGCAGCAGCCGCTGCCGTACGAGCATCACCGCGGCCACACTGGCCAGTACCAGCCCCAACAGCAGCAGCAGCAGCAGCCATACGGCCAGCATGGCGGTCATGCTCAACGACAGCATCCTTACGAACAACACCGCGGCAATGTTCCATAACAGCATCCGTACGGTTATCACTACGGTAATGATGAACGACATCATCCGTATAATCACCACAACCGGGCTCGCCGGAACCGGGCACCACCTCCTCCGCGGCAATTCCACCACGGCCGGCGTCCCCGCGGCAGACGCTACCGGCCACGCGCGCAGCCGCCTGCCCATGCCGCCCCGACGCGTCGTCCGCAGATCGCCCCTGATCCCGCTGGCGTTGCAGCCCCGGCCAGTGCTAAGGAGGAGTCGCCGGTCGCGGAAGCCGTACCAACTACCACCGCTGGGATTAAGCGGGAGGAGATGCCATCGCCTCCACCTAGAATGGTTAAACAGGAGCCTGTGGATGACTGAGGGAACATATGGATGGAGACAGAGGCTGGCAATTTGGGTTTTGTAAAGCCTAGGAGGATTTTTTGGTTCAGGTAAAATAGCAGCCTAACGCGCTTTCCCTGCGGAGGACTTGACAGGTCATGGCAGTGCGCAGATCAAAGAACAAATAGAATGATCTGAATCGATTTCTACACATCCGATGCTTGTGTCTTTGCCAGTTTGCGTATTACTTTGTGGTAGGTCTTTCATAACTCTTCTGCAAGCTGTTCTTCTCATCCGCACATCCGAGCCTTATCTCTTTGTCCACTTTCACCCGTCTTTTGGCGGTATCTTATACGTAGCTTCATCGGGTTGTTCGTCCCCATTCACGGGCTTGTGCATGGTGTCTTTGTCTGTACGTATTTGCCTTCTTCCAAAGGTTTATACGCTTCCTCATCGGGCTTATCTTCTCCATCTGCAAACCAGAATATTATAATTTCGTTCATTGTGAGCCACCTAATCTTATGCGGGCCTCTATACAACTTTCTGGGCTTGAAGTCTTAATTTGTAGACTAGAAACTTGTATCTTTGTCTATACGTACCCTTGTTTGCACGAGGTCTACTAGACATCTTTGTCAGTTTATTGTTCTCTATTCACGAACTTGCGCCGTACATTCATATCTATACATAGCTGACTTCCTATGAAGTTCCCTACATATCCCTAAGGTTTCCACCATATACTTTTTCGCGATAAGTTTATATTTCTTCGTGCACATGCGTCGGTCTTGATATGAGGGTTGATTTGGAGCTTAATCGAACCAGGCTTTATTCTCTTGCAAAACGCACAAGTTGCTTTGCGTGTGGTCAAATCCGTAAGACAATGGCTTACAGACTGCTTTTTAACACTCATACATGCACGTACCCGGGACTTAACATGGCACCTGCCAGGTGGTAAGCCTCTGGCGACAGCACGACGACGTGCTTACCCGTTTGGGTTAGACTGATTGCTGTGAAGTTGACGCGCACAACAGTCTTCTTTCCTGCTCATCCCAAAAACCCACTTACAACCCACTTGCATGCGCCTGATTCCATTCCGCCACCACAATGTCTCACCTCGTCATTTACGTGGATAGCGATGAAGAGGGCGAAATCCACTCGCGCGAGCCCACACCCACCGACACCGGCGAAAGCCAGAGACTTGCGACGACAGCTCCCCTCATCACGGGAGAAGACAGCGACGACAAGCCCGTCAACACTGGAAATTCATACAGGCCTGTACACCCCTCGACGACCAGACCTACAGGGTATGTCTCCATTGCGCTGTTCAAAAGGCAGTATGATACACTCACTTTCGTTAGGTACTGGAAAGGCCGTTGCCTTCGCTGTGAGAAGTTTATCGCCAACCTGGAGTCAGGTCATAGTATCAAGAACTGCAGAGGCAAATGCTGGATCTGCAAAACTGTTGGCATGCCTGTCTTAGCTGATTTCAGCCACTTTGGCAAGAGATGCTTCGGGCCATGGAGAGACGACGAATTCCAAGAGATTACAGGTGTTCCGCCCATGCCTTTCGAGTTCTTCCAGCGCCGTGCTAAGATGGAGGTGGATGATGCCCCACCTCCCAACGCGCCATGGGCGAATTTGCCTCCCCAGGACCAAGGATACCAGAACAACAGGAACCCCCAGAAGAGGATGGAGGATGCAATCAGAAGAAGGGATGAAGAGATCAAAGACCTCAAACAGGAGATCGCTTCGCTCAAGAGAAAGAACAAGCTCATGGATAATGCGATCAAGTTCAAGAACAATAAACTCAAGGTCAAGAACGAGGCGCTCAAGCACAGGGACGATGAAATCAGGTTCATGAACGAGGAACTTAGGCTGAAGGATGAGAAGATCAAGCTCAAGGATGAGGAAATGAAGATAGAACGCGATCGGGCGGTTAAGTTGCTTCCGCATGCGGTTGCGTATCCTTCGATGCTTCCACCTCCGTCTGCGCCTGCGGCTTATTACGCCGCGCCGCAGTACGGCGCCGGCCAGCATCATCTCGACCACCCTCTTCCCGGTAAGCCATACACTGGCCAGCGCAGCACTCGCGGCACTCGGTCCCGCTCCCCACAGAGGGGTGGGCCGAAGTATCGCCAACGGGACAACTAGGGTCATGATCGCGGTGGTCGAAGTAGAATTCAAGGACCTTAAAACCAACACTAGCCAGACGGCTTTGTCAAGTTTGACTTCCTCATGTGGATTTAAGGATAAGTCTGCTTCCTGCTAACTGAGGTTCAATTATGCGTGCTCAGACCTAACACTCAAAGGTAATGGGTGTCCTGCTTTTGTTTGCTTTTCAAGCTCTGCTTGGTTCTTTTTTTCTTCGGGCGACCGTAGTACTTTGAAGTCTGACACTCTTTTTCTCTTTGTATTTTAATGAGATTAGGCATAATAAAGAGTTTCCTTTGCGAACTGGGAATGGTTCGTTGTATGAAAGCTAAAAAGACATTACGTCAACGTGAAGAAATGTCCTTGTACAGAGCGTCGAACGGCTGCAGAGCTCTCATCGCGAAGCACCATATCCCGCAACCCGCTCATAACCAGGCCGCACGACTCCGATCATACAGAATGTTGATTATGTTTGAGCATTTTTCACGATGACGAAGGAATTATGCGAATATCTCGACGCATAGGCTGACAACAGCTCAGTGTTTGCCTTGATCCACGGAAAGGTGCACTGCCCGTTGCACAATACATCTTCGCTGCCTTGGCGCATAGATGCAGGGCATTCACACCCTACGCGGATGGTGTTGGTGATGCGAAATATTTGCAAAGACAAGTTGATATGCGGCCTGTCGACGGCTCAGTGTCTGCACGGATGCGCAGAAGATGCATTGCAAAAGGTACATACAGTATACATTCGCTATACCGATATAAGCAAGACATCTGTTCTCTATGCACGCACGCTCGTATTCGAAGACAGAGGAATAAGCAGGCGGAAAAACTCAAGCGTCGCTTGGCGACTTTTCAATGTGTCGGTTTGTTGTTGGTTGCCCGATTGGGTTAGACCGGCAAATGTTAGCGACTTGACGCGCCCGCCTGCCGCTGCGTCACTCTCACACTCTCCCAACTTCACCCTCTGACAACCTTCTTTCCTGAACTTTCTCCCAACACGCGCATCTATCACCACGATGCCTCCGATCAAGAAAGAAGAGAGCGACGATGAGGGCGGCCTCTCGGCAGGCGCTCTCACGCTCACCACCACCCCGGCCACTGCCAGCACTCCGGCTGCCTCCAGCTCTCCGGCTGCCTCCAGCTCTCCGGCCGCCGCCACGTTCACGGCGCGCACCGCGACCAGACCCGCCGGGTAAGCAGCTAATGCGAACTGCAGAGTCAGTATGCTACACTCACTTTTCTAGATACTGGGGCGATCACTGTCTCCGTTGTGAGGGCCTCTTGTCGGACCTCCCCCCGGTCATGGTTTTAGGAACTGCACCGGTGCATGCTGGATTTGCAAGTCGGAGGCCAGCCCCGACGAAGCTACTTCCCACGCTGGCAAGCGCTGCTTTGGTCCATGGAGGGACGACAATGGACGCCCGGCTGCTGGTGCTCCAGTTGAATTTGCCTTCTGGAAGCACTACGGCAAGATGACGCGCGACGATGAAGCACCGCATGTTTCTCATTGGGCGCCCCACAATCTGCCGCGTCCCCAGCCTGGCCTCAAGGAGCAAAAGCTCCACTACGAGGCCAAGTTGCACGACAGGAACGAGGAGATCAAGAACTTCAAGAAGGAGGTCAAGGACCTCCTCAGAGACAAGAAGGACCTCAACAAGGTGGTCAGGGACCTCTCCAAGGACAAGAAGGACCTTAGGTCTGATCTCGCCAAGCAAGAGGGCAAGGCCAAGCACTTCAAGCAGATGTACTCCGGCTTGAGTGACCAATTCAACTGGAGCCAGCAGCCTGCTCAACTGGGCCCGGCCGTGGCACAGCCGGCATCGGTCACAGTGGCCTATGGCCAGCAGTATGGTGCCCCGGCTCCATTTGCCCCAGCTCCCTTCGGCCAGCAGCAGGGCGCTTACGGCCAACAGCTCGGCGTCTACGGCCAGCCTCTTGCCCGTGACGACTGTCGCCAGGCCCGCTCTTGCTCGCCGTCCAGACGGCAGAACGACCACTACCGCGAGCGTAGCCGGTCTCGTGATCGCTACCGCGACCGGAGCAGGTCTCCTGACCGCCGCCGTTACCGCCGCTGAACCTGGGCATGTCATCTGTTTGACCAGTGGGCGCTGTCCTCGCCACGATAGACTGGTCATGTTCCACAGGTAGCAAGAGGTGCGTTTGTTTTTGTTGCTTGTTTTGCTTTTTTCCGCCTTTTCCTCGCCGCTTCGTCACATAGTTGGTACCTACCTCCGGCGATCAGCGCTGTCAACTTGCGGAGAACTCATGGTGATGGAAACATTCACCATAACTGGCAACCTACGGCGATCAGCACTGACGATTATTGCAGCTTGCGGAGGATTTTGACAGCTACCTACGGTGATTAGCGTTGAAGGATGGCTACTTGCGCTTGCGGAGGGTTCCTGGGGAGGGTTCAAGGCGATGGTAGTGCTTTAAAACCTGACACTCTTTTTTCCCACTGGGTTTTTAATGAGCTCAGGTCCTGTATCTAGCTAGTTTCTTGGGTGTAATGATGATGATAATCGAGTTTTTCAAAGCTTCAACAAAGACGTGCCGGGCATTAGTTGCATAAGTCCTTTCAAATTAGTCCATGCTACCAGTTCTCGGAATAGACCCATCCGCCCAGTCCTATTTCTAGGTAGTAGGCAAAGATATGATTAGGCTCTATAAAATATTCCATACCTAGCTAAAATACTACGTCCTCAGTATGTGGGAAGGTCTTAGAGCACATACATACTACAAGTATCTTGAGTGGATTTCTTCTAATCCGTACAATCATCATTACCTCGCAACACAGTGGTTCCTGCTTGACGGTAACGGGCGTTACAATTATCCGGAGCCTTTAACATTTCACTGCCTCTTTCGGTGGCACCACGTGACTGTCGAAGGCCAAGGACGCCGGCCGCCCTGTCCTACCCTCACCTTCTCACAACCTCACCATCTCACAACACACTTTCCACCACCCACCCCCAACCCACGTATACCACCAACATCGTGTGCCAGACTTCTCACCAACATGTCTGCATCAGAAATAGGTGGATCGATGCCAGTGATCCGAAGCATAACGCTGACTGAACCCCAGCTCGGGTCTGATACAACAGGTCTTGACCTCGAGTCTCAACACTCAGTTCCGACTCTCCCAGAGGAAGAAGTAGTGCCAATGATATTTCCGAATTGGCCGCCGCATCAAAGCGAATACGTCAAGATCGTGGAAGCCATGGGCAAGGAAGGATACCCTGGACTACTCAAGGCTGTCTTCGACGAGGAACGAGCCCGCGATCATGCGTCCACCCGAGAGATGGACTTCGATCAGTTCAAGGAGCCTGCAATGCGAATTGTCGGAGCTATGCCTCAGCCGCTGCTAGGTCACATAATCAGCGGCAATGTTCATCAAGCATGGGTCAACGAAGAGAATGGCGTCCGTGACTACATGGACAAGCTCAGACAGTTGATGACACCTTTGCCGTCGCAGGCGGACATCAACGCACCTCCGCCGGGTATATACCAGCTCATGCTAGTAGACGACAAAGGCCTATCGCCAACCGAGTTTCAACTATTTGAAGCTTGTTCGCAACTGGTCATATACTGTGGGGCTGACAAAGATTCCAACGCTGCAGCTGACCAAGAAATTGCGATGAAAATCGACAACTGGAAGTCATCAGATTGGGATATAAACCGTACCCTCAATGGTGCAAGGAGATACTTGTGTAGCGACCAGAACTCCATGGCGGTTGACCAAGTAAAGAAGCAGAACCTGCTCAAATTCCGCGATGCATTCTGTTCGGGCTATTTCCCTGAAACCCCATACGGAGAACTTCTGGGACCACTCAAGCAACCACTCCAATACTTCGGCTATTCTCAGATGCTAGCCGACAGTCTTAAGGACCACATCGAGCATACGGGCGGCAGCTGCATCATGTACGCTGTCGAAGCGGCTTTGAATACCTGCGTGAAGGGGGGGGATAAATTCCGTCTCCGGGGTGGTTGTATCCACCAGTGTGTTGAACCGGAGGATTGTGTTCTGGCCGAAGTGGTTTTCGCCCGCCTCGGTCATGGATACATCGAGTCGGGTTGCGGCTTCGCTGTAGCTCCGGCTGGGGAGCCCAACCCGGCTCCTTCTGACAAAGAACCAACTTGGTGGGGGCATTGGCAGGAGTGGTACCTGGCAAACACCAGTCTCGCCAAGAATGCCGCCTGGGAAGTGGTGCGGACGAAGAAGGGCTCCATCGATATCGACAACAACATATTGGAGTTGATGTCGTGCCGAGACATTGTCAGAAACCACAAAAGCGATATGGAGCAGCTCTTCAAACGTATCCTCGCCAACAGGAAGAAAGATGAGGAATCTTTCGGCAAGATCATCCAGAAATTGGTTGTTGAGTATAAAGAAGAGTTGAGACAAGAGCTCCAACGGGAAGAGGAAGCCGCGATAAACAGAGCCATGGAGATTTCTGCCCGTTATGGTCTCAACTGGGGCCTCGACATTGGCCTCAAATGTCCCACAGAGGTCTGGCTATCCCATTGAGGCCTGGTTCACCACTCATCTGACCAAGGCAATTCCTTCATGAGTATCGGTCAAGGCGAGTTCCTCAGGCTTTCGGCCGGGGTAAACTTCTGCCAGCGATCAAGGCGGTTTCTTCAGGCGTTGAGCCGGGGCAAAATTCTGCCAATAACTAAAGCAATTCCTCGGCTTTTGGGCCTGCGCATGAGTTCCCCAGGCTTTGGACCGGGGCAAACTCCTGCCAGCGATCAAGGCGGTTTCTCAAACTTCTGCTAGGGATTAAGGCGAGTTCCTTAGGCTCTATCTAGGCCGGGGCGAACTTCTGCCAGCAACTGAAGCGAGTCCTCCCGCGGCTCACACCGCCACACTGAACCACTGTCGCGGAGATGGCCACGGAGGTGATCGTGGAGGTGGTCGTGGTGATGGCCGTGGTGGCGGTCGTGACTACCAATACCAGCAGTAGTCGGGGCAGCTTGGCTCTGCGACTCTTTCCACACTTTGGCATTCGGGTTTTGACTGGTTCTGGGTTTTCCTTGGTTTTCGGAGCATATACGTGTCCAGCTTTTGGAGACTTGGGATTTTGCTTTGAAGTCTGACACTCTTTTCCCACTGGGTTTTTAACGAGGTCAGACCCTGTATCTAGTCTGCAAGGGGGATTGACTGGTGATGATAATCAAGGATTCAAGTCTACTGTTTGCGTTTGTGTGCTGTAGGCTTTATATATAGTAAGGCCAAACACTAAATCGTTTGTAATATTACCACAAAGAAACGCCGCTCGCGAAGAAACCCTCCAATAGCTGCTGGAAGCTCTCCGAATATACACGTAAGCACCACGCTTCGCACATGCACTAACTCCGGTGTTTCGACTCAACGGTGGGTGAACAACAAATTGGGAAGATGATTATCATGAACAACCTTGGCCTCGGTAAAAACCCTGTGGGAAAAGAGCGCCAGGTGTTGGTGTTATCTACAGAAAGAGAATACAAAGCAACGCTAAAGGAAGAAACCACCGGCACCAAAGGCCAAGCAAAACCAGCACTCGTCCTCCGTTGTGTATCGATCCGATCCTAGAGCCGGCAGACTACACAAGCAGCTCGGACAGAGTGCACAGAGCAGCAGAGGCGGAGCAGGACGTAAACGCCTACCGCATTCTCGTCCTTTTCCTTACCTAGCGCTTCGCCTGCTGAGCCCTCTTCGGCCCCGTGGTAGCCTCAGCGCCTAGTCGCTGGGGAGGCACGAGAGCCCAAGGTCCGACTGAAAGCATCGGACGCGGCTTCTTCCACGTCGTCGTCGTCGGCTTCAGTCACCGCGGCGCCAGCCGTCGCGGCGACAGAAGCTGCAGGGGCGGTCAATACCGGAACGGTGCTGATCGGTGACTGGAAGCGGACGCGACGTCGCTGGCGTGGCTGAACCGAAGTGGAGGGAGGCATCCCGTCCGGCGAGATGCGACGACCACAACGGAGTTCGGCCGAGGGTGACGTGGGCGGGTTCACGTCGAGACTCGACCGGCTGTCGCTGCTGCGACTCCTCGATGGCGAGCGGCGCTCGTAGCCGTGACGACGCTCGTAGTCGTCACGGCGCGAACGACGGCTGTGCCTAGAACACGAGGGCGAGGGCGAGGACGAGGCCGAAGACGAGGACGAGGACGAGGACGAAGGAGAGTAGCGACGGCGTGAAGGCGACCGACGCCGGTCTGCCCGACGGCCGTGCCTGGAGCGTGAGCGCGACCGCGAGCGACGGTCATCATCGCGTTCCGACTGATGACTGTGCCGAGAGCGGGGAGGGGGAGAGGAAGATACGTACCTGTATCCACGGCCGTCCTCGTAGGCCGTCTGAGCCTGACTGTGACGCGTCGGAGGAAGGGGTTGATACATGAAGCCGTGTCCGTATTCCAGGTATGGCTGGTACGGTTGCGCGAACGGCCCGTACGGCGGCGGGGGCGGCATGAACGCCTGCGGCGGCACGAATTGCTGCTCCGGCGCCACGAACGGCGGTGGCTGCATGTACGGCTGCGGCGCGTACTACTGCTGCACGTACTGCAGCGGCGTCAGGCCTCTAGGCTCGTTGCGATCTGTCCAGAAGCCAGTGTAAGTCTCACTTCAACTCCGCGGTTCAGACATACCGTTGTGCCGGTTTTGCTGGGAGCGGCGCCCGTTGCGGTTACGTCTGGAAGGCATCTGGATCTGTCAGCTTGCGCGTCCTGCGTCTTGGTGTGCAGAGCGTTTCGCGTACGTTGAGTTCGAGACGTTCGAGGAGGTGTAGAGGTGAGGGAGGGACGCGGACGAGATTGGACTGAAGGCTGCGCTCCCCACGCGCTAACCCGATTCAGTAACCAAAAGCTAAGCTGCGCTGCGCTGCGTCTTGGACATCTTCCAGCAGGTTCTTTCAGGCTCTAGCAAGTTCTAGCAAACTACTCCAGAGTTTGCAGGATCGGTAGGTCATGGCAGAGTCAAGCGCGTAATAGCTCGTGGTATGGATTTGCGCGCTTCTGATCAGAAGCCAGACACTGAAACTTCGCCGGACCCAAGATTTAGCTATTTGCCTACTTCCTTCGTTGCCATCAAGCTCATGCATCTGTGACGGCTCTACTGCGTGTTTACGGTTAAAAACCATGCCCAATGTTACCGTTACGGTAGGTAGTTGATGTACCCTCATTTCCGGAATCCAAAACCCTGGACTGTCATTCAGCCACGCATTGAGCTACTTGGACAGTTTCTTGGTCCGATGTACGCTTGTACGACAGAAAAACTGCATATCTACGGAAATATACAAAATTCAAACCGTTCACTGCTTCTAGTGGTGTACCTTCCTGCAAATCTCTTCGCATGCACTGAGTTATCGCAAGGCTACACTTTTCGCATAATATCATTAACACCTATCTAAGAGTAAGGACAAGACTAGATATATTCTATTTAGCCTTTTGGAAGTGCGAAGGTATTAGCTCTTTAAAAATCTACCGCTCGTAGTTTAAAACGGAACCACAGCCCTCCCCGTACCGCGACCCGGAGCGCGAACACTTCCCCTCTACTTAACGACGCTCGCCGATGATTAGACATGCAGCTGACCTATAATGGAAAGATGTCCTCTGTCCGTTTTCCCGTCGTCTCCGATCCGCATGTCGTGGCTTGCAGGTATAAGCCGACTAGCAAATAGGTTCGATCTGGATCGCTGCGCCTTAATCACTGCAATACTTCGGACGCGGTAGAGATAAAAATCAGGCAGATGAATGAATGAAGTGATTTACTAGTAGGAGAACGAGAAGCTATGTGGTTGTGAATATGGAAACCCCCAGGCGTTCCGCTGCAACAGACGGGCGTCAGCTGAACAGCAGATGCCGGGTAGTTGATGGGGGTATCTAGGATTGCATACGAAGCAGGTAGTGGGGTTAGAATGGTATAAATATCAGCTGGATGGCGTTTCGAGATGGTCCTTGTGGAAAGGGTGATGTGTGTATAGAGTAGAGGTGGAATAATAGAGAACGTTGATGTGGGAGAGGGAGTTGGGGGGGG